TTTATTGCTCATCTCTGTCTTTAAACCATCATTCTTGTGACTATATAGTAAATTCTTTTGAATGTATATACAGGTCTCTAGTTTATAACAAACCTTAAGATAAGAAGATTGTCAGATTATTTCTGAGACCTTTAACAGAGAGATCTCTAACTATCTGGTGACCTGGGTATTTCCATTTATGTATCTGAAAAGTGCTTTGATTTGTGACTTTTTAATTATGTCTTCTCGAAACTGCTGTCATGTTGGAATACAGAATTTGAAGTTACCTAAATCTGTGTTCTACAAGTTTATCCTCAGAATAAAATCCCTTATTCCCTTTGAGAAGCAAGCTATGATTTTTACGTCAACACAGCAGTAGTTTTTCTAGTCTTCACACTCTGCAAAACATTGTGTTTGTATAACCAACTTCTTACCCAACTTCTGGAAGATGACTTGCCTCACAGAGTTGAACTGTGATGGAAGTGCACTTTGGTCCATTATTGGTACCCTATCTTAGATGAACAGACATTTCTTCATGCTTCCCATGGAAAGTTAACATAAATATTTTCTTTATTAATACTACAAAGCCGGTTATGTCCTGAAATGAATCATTTTATTTTTCAGCTTTATGACTTTGCTAAAAAAATGAACACTTAGTTGCCATTTGTTTTTTTTCCAGTAATACTAATTTCAAAATCAAGGGTGAAAAAGAGTGAACAGATTATAATAAGACTAAGTTCAAAATGAAGGTTGGAAAGAATAAATAAATTATAAGGATTGGGTAACTCTTAACCTGCACAAAGACTGCTCATATCTTGTCTTTCCTTAGCAAGTCCTACAAAAGGTCCTTATTTCCTATATTATCCCCATCCTTCTCTGAGCCTCTGTTCCTTTTAGTGTTCATTGCAGTTTTTTTTCTTATAAAGTATAAGATACTAGGTAAGGCAATATTTCTTTCGAAGGTTTCCAAGGGCATAGTGCAGTGTGTTACTTTTAACTCTGATAACATACTTCACTTGTAATTTCTCATTTTTTTCTTAGCAACTCTAAACAAATTTCAAAAAAATACCATAGTGTCTATTATGTGTTTGAATGATATGTATGTGTTAGATCACAAACTATCTTGGTCCTACCTAAAGCCTGCCTCTACACTCCTTGTCACTTAAGCAAGGTCGGATTAGATCATGTAGTGTGACACTTGTATAGCCTGATGAAAAAGTTATGAATTAGAAATCTCCTTTGTTCCCTAGATTTGGCAAGATAGTTCTGTTTCTCTCTCCCTTCAAGACCTCATTAAGGTTGCCTATGGTCATGATGTTGCATCTCTCTGAATGAAGCTCCTCTTTGGACCTCAAGACCTACTCTTTCCCATAAGGGCTGCATCTTCCAGTAAAGCTCTTCTAAAATGTAATCCATGCCAAGTGAGCACATATCTCCTGAGGATAGAACATCCTTATCCCCAGCTCCTTATGCTACATTTGTGTCTTGTCACTCACTTCAAAACTCCACCATCCACTAGTTAGGTCTTTATTCTATATGGCCAAATAATGACTTAAGTATCTCTATCCTATAAAATTTCACACTTTTGGATCCTATCAATTGGATGGGATATTCTGATACTATGTGAGCTTCAGCTGATATCAGGAGTGATTGTATAAATAAATGGATGTTCATTGAAGCTTTCTGGAATATCTTTCATAACATGTTAATTTCCCATAATTACATGTGTTGTGTAGACCAGGTTCTGGCTTCTTTGCCTTGTTCACCACAGTTGCTACTCTGACCTCTCACAAGTCACTGTTACAGTTTGTCACAAGTAAGGCTATTTTACATTCTATCAATAGATAATGAAACTATGTAATTCTATCCCATGATGGGATCAAAAGTATAACCATCCTAACTACAAAAAATACAAAAAGATATGTTGGAGCAACAGAAGAATATAGACAGAAGTCTAAGTGGAAATCCCTACGGCTTTGTCAACTGTATACTCATTAGCATAAACTGTGGTCTATAATTTACAAAGTAGCCAGTCCAAAAATGTGCTAAAGATAAAAAAGACTTTCTTCATTATCTTCTTCTTTAACCTTGATCTTATTCCAAAGAAATGGAGCTAAGTCTTCTTATACCCTGGTGGATGGTTTTAAATTAGGGCTCAGTGCCTACTTGAGATATGCTTATCCCTCACAGGAGTATTTAATAATTTCTTTTCTTGTTACATTAATAAAATACCCTGACTCGAGAAACTTAAGGTAATGTATGTTCACTTTAGCATAGTAGTAGATCATAAAAGAAAAGTCACAGAGACACTAGAGAGATTGTCCCACCACATTAGTAGTCAAGAACAAAGAACAGTAGATGTATGCATGCTAGCATTCAGCTCACCTTGTCTTCTTTTACACAGTCCAGTATCCCGTGCCAAGGAAATAGTACCACTCACAGCCAGTGAGTCACATGGTGGGATCAAGAGTATAACCATCCTAACTAATTAATAATATAAAAAAGAAACATTATTAAGATAACTCACTAGAGACATGCTCAGACACCGAGCTCCCCGTGATTCTAGATCGCATTAAGTGTGCAGCACTAACATTAATTTTTATTAATTAAAGCCGTGAACTAAGTTTTCCATGCCTGCCATTTGCGTTTTTGTGAGATAGTCTGTGTATCTTGGGAGAAGCATTATCTTTCTTTGTGGCATAACTCCATATATATGTACATATATATCTGTGTACATACACAGATACATATGTATTTTTAAGTAGGCATATAAGATAATATAATTTTTATTGATTTTCAAGCATCCTTAGTCTTACTTATTGCTCGGTATTCCTTCTTCCTTTGTATTACCCTCCTTCCCCACCCCAGTACAAATATCTCCTGTTTTTCCCCTTTCCCCTTCCACTGCATCCATGCTACACTATCCTTATTTCTAGAAACACTTCTATGGCGTGTTTCCTCTTGACTTATATGAAATCCACATCGATTCCATGGTACCTGTCCACTCTCCTGGCTTCTACAGTTGCTTTAATAATATGCTTAAATATAAAGATTCAGGGCTGGGGATCCATAAATAAAAAAGAACACACAGCATTTGCCTTTCTGGGACAGAGTAACTACACGGTGAATAGTATTTTCTAGTTATAGCCATTTATCTGCAAAATTTATGATTTCCTTTATCTTTACAGATAATGAATAGAATCCCATTGTCTCTATGAAACACATCTTCGTTATGGATTCTTCAGCTGAACAACATTTAGGTTGTTTCAATTTTCAATTGAATGGCAATACATGTCTGAGAAAGTATCTTCTTAATAAAATATTGGGTCCTTTAGGAGTGGTATGCCTGAGTCATATGGTATATCTACTTTTATCTCTAGAGAATTCTCTACTGTGATTTTTATAGGGGCTACAACAGATTGCAAGCCCACCAACAGTGAATGAGGGCTCCCCACATCCTTGTTAATATTGTGGTCAGTTGTTGTCTTGACCTTATCCATCCTGACTGCAGTAAGAGGAAATCTTAAGTATATGGTGACTAAATAGTAAAGACATGATTAGAGAATATGTTCTGGGCTGAATAATTTGCATTCAATCATGGACTTTAGACCACATGTAACTAAACCCACTAGGTGTCACAAATTCAAGCTCACATCAGGTGTTCAAAGTCATAAAATGTAGGAGATTAAAAAATAGACTTTCTAAAATAAGAAAAGAATATTATGCTCAAATTCTCAGTTGATAATCCACACCAGAGAGTACATTAGTTGGTCACAGTGTCAGAGAAACAAAGTGTAATGTGAATAGTAGGGAGTTTATTTCATGTATTGTGATGGTGCCTTTCTCAGTTCTAATATAGAGTGGCATGAATAAAATTTAAGGTCATACTCTATATTTATCCATTTCCAAGAAGAACCAGACATTGAGCACTACTATTTATTCCTTAGTACAAAGGAAATAGTTTTGAAAAAAAATGCAACCTTGGGAGATGCTCTCATTATCCAATTATCATAGAATATATTTATATGGCAGTCGACTGTGTATTTAGACTCTGAGATCTAGCCTATTTATCTTATAGCACAAACCTGTATAGCATGATACTTCACTGAGTATTGTAAATAGTTGTATACACTAGTGTTTGTAGATCTAAATAAATTTAAGGTTAGCAGAAGCAGAAGAAAATATTAAGTAAAAGGCAAACCGGTGTATTCATGTCCAGTTTATAGATTTAAGATTTGCTCTAAGTTAATGGACAAATGATGACACACAGGAAGCTGAGGGTAGCCTTATACATTACTGTCGGTGTTAGAATCACTGTGTGACTATTCCACAGAATTCATAAAAATCCTTTCTTCAATGATAAGTTAACCTTTGTTTACGGTAAGTTTTTACTTCATAAGTTTTTGATTTTTTTTTAGCATTTTGACTCGTTTCAAATAATGCTTAGTTTAAACCACAAGCACATTGCATAGCCTGAAAAAGTCTTTTCCTTTTCTTAAAAATATTTACAAACAATATAAATCAAATGAAGTACACTGTGTATCTGGACAGAAGTTAACCAGAATTTTAATCTTCTTTGAATTTCTTTGGGCTGAATTTAGAGAATTGGAATAACTACACTGAAATGCTTAGTCTGAAGAAGAAATGAAACATTTTTTATTTCACCTCAGGTAAGAAGCTATATGGAGATTCCAGATGAAAGTAGAAGAATTTTCAAACTCATTTCCCAAGATACCTGCTACAGAAGCATAATAAAAACGGCTTGTGTGCAATAGTATACACACACACACACACACACACACACACACACACACACACACACACACATATTACTTTATTTATCCAGGCATGGCACTAGTTTTGCCAATAGGCCAGGCCAGGTGAGTTCAGATGCTACGATTCCTGCATCTCAAATGCTGTTATGCTGTTTCCCTCTTTTCCTCCTCTCCTTGCAAAACTGACTTGCTACAACTGACTACAATTCCCATGATCCTTCTCGGATTTCATTCCACTCAGCTAGCTCTTATTTTTTTTTTCCTTACCTCCTTAGAATCTGACAGGCCAGAGAGAATTCTGATTTCAAAGGGATGCTTACATTCTGTACTGATGCGGTCTAGGAATGTAAATGTTCAGTGTCACACTGCTAAGAAAGGTAAGACAATTTATTACAGGTTTTTATAGTTCTTTTTTTTTAAGCTTTTGAAGAAATCGTGTCTTCTTTAAAACCAATGTCTTTGTCACTTATTTTTTGTTCCATCTCTGCAAATCAAAATGCAAAAACATTTTGGCAATAGTACTGTATGTGCATTTGAAATGTGACATTAATACGATTACAAAGAATTCTCAGAGAAATCTCCCTTAAGAGTATAATAGACTCAGAATACAACTTAGTAATTGGGACATAAGCTTTGCACAAATGAGTGACCTACCAGAAATAAAAACATTGAGTTGCTATTTTGCCTGATATATGTGTCATCATATTAGCAGAATGACAGATGTTTTTCAGTTGCATAGAGGCTTAATTGCTTCATAACTAACACTACCTAACCAGTATGAATTAATATTTCCTTCTCAAATCATTTTATGTTAGAAAGTACTTTTGCACACTTTGCCAATGGGATCTTAATACTTAAGATAAAAACATATTAAGAAAATCTCAATTAATTATAGCAAAATTCATTACTGTGCTAATAAATATCTTTAGAAACCTAAATCTTACTATTAGTGGATTAACCCTATTTCCCCATTAGTGTGGACTGTGCTTCTGTCTTAAACACATGCATTCAATGATTGTGCTTGCCTGTTTCTGCCTGGGATTGGCATAAAACTAGTATGGCAATATGCCATGTATGTGGTTTACACAGTTGAAAATTATTAAAGCAATTTTTATCAATTAACACAGTTCCTCTGAAAAGAATGAGATACATGCATCATTTTTTTTCAATACAACTTTGCATAATTGGAATAAAATGCAATTTGACCTATTAATCTAAAAATTAAATGCAAAATACTTAATATAATACAGAGAACAGCACTCTGAAATTGCATAACTATCCAGTGTGTGGTCATTTCCTTCTCTGCCCCTTCTCTCAAAGCACAGAAAAGAAATTCCATAAAATATAGTCCAGGAAGAGAGAATATTAAGAAACAATGAAAGCCACAAAGAAAGCCTGAGGTGGTCAAGGCTGCACCACCTCTCCAGGCAAGCAGAAAACTCCCATTTGTATTTAACTCTTTTTCAAGCCTCTACTCTGACTCTGACATTGTACACAGTAAGATCGAAATAAACTCCCCAGATTAATTGTAAATACTTTTTGAGCATTAGGCACCTTTTCCAACTTCTAATTGGAGAATCTTGACTTTATTAATTTTCATGCTCCTGGGAAGAGAGCAAAGTGGTACTTTTAATGGTCTGTTCTGATTTAACTTATGTGTGCTGTGTATAAAATTATGTCACTCTATTTAGAGTTTCAATACCACTTTTTTAACTGCTTAAAATTGTAGCAGTACTTACAATATCTGGTTCTAGCATCATACACTTCTCAGTACATTTTTGTATTCATCCTTATTTCTTTTAAATTACTAATGACAATGACAAATAATACCTAGTATTTTTAGTGCACAAGAATTAATATAATTAGAAGAACAGGTTGTCATAACCTACCTTAAGTGGAATTCCAATGTTTCCACAGGTAAAGTTGAGCCAAATCCAGGATTTTGTGTTCAGAACCTATTTTTTTTGTTTGTTTTTATTTAAGAGAACCTTTCTTTTTTTATTTTTTATTTTATAATTTGATTTAATTTTACATATCAGCCATAGATTCCCCTGTCCTCTCTCCTCCCACCCACCCCCATTCCCATCTCCTCCAGGTGGAGCTCCAGGAGTCCAATCAGTGAGAAAGAGGAGGGATTGTATGAGCAAGAATTGTTGAGACCAAGATTGGAAAAAGCACAGGGACAAATAGCCAAACTAGTGGAAACACATGAACTGTGAACCAATAGCTGAGGAGCCCCCAACTGGATCAGGTCCTCTGGATAAGTGAGACAGTTGATTAGCTTGAACTGTTTGAGAGGCATCCAGGCAGTGGGACTGGGACCTGTCCTTAGTGCATGAGCTGGCTGTTTGGAACCTGGGGCCTATGCAGGGACTCTTTGCTCAGCCTGGGAGGAGGGGACTGGACCTGCCTGGACTGAATCTACCAGGTTGAGCTGAATCCCCAGGGGAGTCCTTGCCCGGCAGAACCTATGTTTTTAGCCTTCCACTGTGTTTCAGTCTTTGCAATGTTGCAACACTTCTACATCTCCTCCACCTTCTCTAAATTTATTGAAGAAACGTATCCATGGTCTCAGCACTGACTTAGGTCTTCTCTTCTTTGTTCATAAGTTTGCACTCTTTTTTTCTCACTTAGACAAAGTTCTTTGCTGCTTAGCTAACTACCTTTCACTGTATGCCTTCTCATTTTCCCAGCTGCTTTATTCCAAACAATCTAAGTTGTTTAAATGTCCATTTTGCACAGCAGAGAGACACAAACTTGATTAACTGTCAATCAATACATTTCCTGAGAGCATGAATGGGAAAGACACAAGGAGTTAATTGCAAACCAAAGCGCGCTGTCCTCAGCATCTGATTCCTTGTTCTAAAGGACAGGTTTGCTGCCAGACCTGTTTCCTAAGCCAGATATTTCACCAACAACAGATTTTGTTTCCAAAAGATCATTGTTCAGTCTCTGACTACCTTTGGCCTACATCTGAATTCTTTAAGAGCTCCCAAATTCTCTTCTAACTTCCAAGTGCTGCTGCTGTATGTATGCAGGATGGAGATAGAGTCACAATCCACCTGCATGGCACCAGGACCTGTTCTAACTTGAAGCAAAGAAGCAGCTGTGTTGATGCTGCTCATGTGTCGGGACTGGACAGCTCCAGCCTACTCTCTCCTTCTCCGGGTGCTCTTGCATTTCTTCTCCTTCAAACAGAGCCCATCTTTGCTTTTGAATTTAATTCTGACTTGGCTGTGATAGTAAGTGAGAATCGTTCTTGAGGAAGTTATAGATACACTAACGGTCTAGTCAAAATTATCATCTGCTATTCTTCTACTTTCAACAAATTCCTAGCTTCAAGACACTGAACAAAACATTTTTTATTTTTATACTGTAGCTTGCTATTGACCAAATCCGGAGAACTGAAAATTGGTAGACTGAGCCAGGGATAAAAGATCTGTTCTGGGCCGGGCGGTGGTGGCGCACGCCTTTAATCCCAGCACTCGGGAGGCAGAGCCAGGCGGATCTCTGTGAGTTCGAGGCCAGCCTGGGCTACCAAGTGAGTCCCAGGAAAGGCGCAAAGCTACACAGAGAAACCCTGTCTCGAAAAACCAAAAAAAAAAAAAAAAAAAAAAAAAAAGATCTGTTCTGGCCCATAGGCTGGCTTGACTGGCAAATGGTCATTCTTTGTGTTAGGCAATAGCATGCATGTAATTAGTGGTGCCTCATTTTTGTCACCTTGTCACAAAATAGAGTCACCAAGGAAGAGGGATCTCAAGTGAGAAATTGGACATGTTTGTGGAACCTTCTACTGACCAACGATTGATGTGGGAAGCCATAGCACACTGAGGGAGATTCTAACCCTTTGGTGTATGAGAAAGCACAATGGTTAATCCTCCTTGGTTTCTGCCTCTGGATTGCTCCCTTGAGTTTCTACCTTGACTTGCTTGTTTCAATAATGAACCAAATCCTGCAGGTCAAATAAACTCTTTCCTCTTCAAGTTGGTTTTGGTCAGTGTTTTTATCACAGCAACAGAAAATAAATTAAGACACACCTCAAGGCTGCCTACTTCATTTGGTGCATAATTATACTTACAGAAATCATGACTTAGTATAATGATAGAATGTACTCTGAGGCCATATTGTTTAGGTGCTAGGCGCAGTGGTGATAATCACAAGCTGTCTGATGTTGGACAACTTACTCAGTGTCTTTCTACTTTGGTTTTTCCCAACTGTAAATTGAGGATAATAGTTTCACCTTTGTAGTTATTTTTATTAGAAGTGAATTCATATAATATGTGACCAAGTGTGGAACATTGCCAGTGTCCAATAATGTAGTTACCATTGTTTAGTTAATACTTATAGGTTGATTGAATTTAAAAAAAGTAATTCATTTGTCCTGGATGTGGAAAATAACTTAAATGTTAGGATCTGGTATTAGACATCTTTGCATAGTTCATACACTATACATGGTTGTATTGTATTACATGTATGCACAGGTTGGGTAAAAGTAGTAGCCATTTAGAGTGACTGATTGGAGTATATCTGATTTAAAGGTTGTAAGAACAGCAAAAGCACTGTAACTGTTATTTTGGTGGATTGTTTCTCCACGAATGCCAAAATCATACCCATGATGATGGTAGAGTTGACATCAAAATAGTTTGTGTATTAGGCATTAGCATAACCATGACAGAGAAATGTATGAACCAATGATATGACATTGAAATTGAAACTGGTCCACTTAGGCTTCATATAACAGGGATATTCTTTATATAAAGGATTTTCATTGAAAACATTAACAACTGGAGAAATGAGGAAAGCCAACACTACATAATGTGTGATGCACTGACATCCATTTAAGATGACTATGAACCCTTCATATCTTCCTAAATGTCCTAAAATTGTCATAAAACATACATTATTAAAAGGTATTTTGAGACAGGGTTTCATCCTGTCTTCTAGTCTGGCCTGAAACTCATTTTATAGCCCATTCTGTCATTAAACTCATGGCTGACACTGTCCTCAAATGACAACACTGAGACATAAGCCATGGTTCCAAGATCTCTATTATCTCTCTCTCTAAAAGACATGCAAATTAATACCAACGGTATTGTGAACTGAATTTCTGGGATCCTAACCCCACACACAGCGAATACCACTGAGGCCATTGGTATAAATCCAGTTTGACTAATTGATTTACAAATGCAGTAATTTTGTTGCAATCAGTTCTTGGGGAAGACAGAAATCTATCACCAACACAAGTCAAGATAGAATCCTCAAAGAAGCCAACACTATTAACACCTTGATCTCTGACACTGTGGGGAAGTATCTTCTGTAATTGAAGCCACACAGTTTGTGGCATTTTGTTTTATTAGGGCAGATCTGGCAAACTAAC